GCTAGGAAATGCTTTAGTTGCGGAAAACCAGGCCACTTCGCACGCGAATCTAAGACGGGTTCTAACAAGTCAAACAGTTCAGCAGTGCGTAAACGCAGGACTGAGGATGACGAGCCCGACTCCGATCAGTCGTTAAACTAAAACGAGCCAGCAGCAAGGGGCGCACGCTGGCTCCCGCAATTGAATGCCCCATAATCTCCGTCTCACAAATTGGCCGGAATGCGAGCAACCTCACTATTGGTGGATGTGTGAATGCGAAGGAGAGAGTACTGACAGTGGGTACTGGAGGGAAACATTCCATTATTCGACCGGATTTGGCCCCTTTTTATGTGAAGCCACTACCTGGAGCAAAGCTGCANGGAGAGAGTACTGACAGTGGGTACTGGAGGGAACATTCCATTATTCGACCGGATTTGGCCCCTTTTTATGTGAAGCCACTACCTGGAGCAAAGCTGCAGACTGCAACTGGTTAATGCACCCAAGTGTTAGGAGAAGTATCATGCCAAGTAATAATCGACTGTTGGGCCTCGTACACTAAGTTTATAGTGGCAGACATTGTGGATGAAGTCATCATCGGCGTGGATCTCTTACTTGGCCAAGGCATGAAGATTGACCTCCAGAGAATGATCCTGACAGATCGTCACAGGAAAGTGCCACTTAGGGTTGGTTACGACAGCCAGTGCTGCAGCAGACGGTTAGTCTTAGAGGAAGTGTCGAAGATTCCACCAGAAACGGAAGCGGTTAATTGGGCGGCGGTTGGCAGTGATGGAGACGGAGTGGTTTCTTCAGGAGAAGGAAGCGGTTCACCGATACAGGAAAAGCGTGACGGTTCCGCTAGCTCAGTGAAGAAGAGGTCGCAACAAGGAAGTGATCATGGCAAGCCAGGCAGTGTTTCCGGTAGGAGGAAAGCCGCTAAACCATGTTGCAATGGTTATACGCCGGTGGCCGGAAATGGAAGCGGCTGTGGGAGCAGTAGGCGCGCTTTGAAGTGTCCCGAAAAAGGTGGTCGGAAAAGGCGAGCAGTTAAGCCGGAAGCCAAGGTTGAGATTATACATGTCCGGTCAATGAAGTTAGCATCGGCGGAAGAGCGAGATACGAAACGACTGCGGAAGTTTCAGCGTAAGGATCCGGATGTTTCAAGATGTGCTAAAGGTAGTGCAGCACGAAGGCGGGAGTCTGGGTGTCATGGACAGATGATGCGGCATAGATCTGGCGAAAAGGGTGCCCATGAGAAGAGACATGGACTGGTCACCACCAGTGGCCGACAGAAGCACGACCATGTGAGATGGCGCACCACCGGAGATAAGCTGGAAGCAATGTCCAGTAACGCATCGAGCCGAGAAGAGCTACAGGAAGGTGATTCGGTGTTGTTGCACATGCCGCAGCCGAAGAAAGGCTTCACCTCCGAACAACAGCGTAACTGGAAAGGTCCATATAGGATTGACAAACGGCTGAAGGACGCAGTGCATCGAATCCAGACAATGGGGAGACCGAGGACCAAGATGAAAGTGGCCCACTTGGAAAGACTTGCAACCTGATATGCAACCTGATCGCGAAGCACAAGTCATCGGAAGTAACATTTCCTGTCACAAACGAGGAACAATTGGCTATAAAAGCTGGGTAATTTACCAACAAATTAAGTATGTGTAAATGTGCTCATGAGTTTTTAAATTTTGGCTAGATTCTATACAAAGTTCGGATTGAAAGGAGTTGTTGGTGCAATCGACTGCACACATGTGGCGCTGATCTGTCCACCGAAGAATGACCCAACAAAACCCTGCAGTCTCTATATGAACAGAAAGGGTTACTATAGTGTTAATGTTGAAGCAGTATGTGATGATAAATTAAGATTTTTGGCCATTAATGCTAACTTTCCGGGATCCTGCCATGACTCAGGCTTATGGACAACATCGAAAGTGCGTTCATTCATGAGCACATCAAGAGGGAGTTTGCTCCTTGGTGATCAGGGATATCCATTAGAGCCTTGGCTGATTACTCCCTTGGCTGAATCAGCGTCTTTGCAAGAGGAAAAGTTCAACAAAATGCACTGCAAAGCACGCAATGTTGTAGAAAGGGGATTCGGCGTAGTTAAGTCACGTTTTCGATGCATTTCACAGCATCGTACGTTGCATTATAGCCCAGAGGTTGTGACTATAATAGTAAACACTTGCTTTATTTTACACAATATTATGGTGAAATTGTGGCCAAATGATGAAGTGGAGTTGGAAGAAGAAGAAAGTTGGGAACTAATTACAGAATCCTCGAATGCAACTAGCAGTCACCTCCACCGAGAAGGTGAAAGAGTTCGCCGACATTTAATCAACCATATAGCGTAGTATATTACTTTTTATTAAGATAATATACAGTAACTCACACTCAAATGATATAGTGATAGTTTTACAATTTTCGCAACGTTTTTCATTCTGAAATTTTTTCTTTGTTTTTTTTAAAAGGTAAAGCTTATTATCTATCAAATACCATATAAATCTAAATTACATACTTTGTGCAAAAGCTAGAAACAGAACAGAAGTCTCAAAAAAAATCAACCTTTTATTCAGAATGTTTAGAAAATTTTTGAGTATGCATTTGCATAGCCCATTTAATTGTAGTACAACAAAGTGCAAGTCTGAAGTTTCTAAAATATCTCTAAAAATCAACCAATGTTTTAGCAACTTGAAACTTGTACTTCATTATATTAGAATTAAATGGGCTATAAAACTGCATACCCAAATACTTTCTAAAAGTTCTGAATAAAAGGCTTGAAATTTTGCTCAGACTTCTGATTTTTTCAAATTTTTGCAATTTAGATTTATACGGTTTTTGATAGATAATAAGCTATACGTTTATATACGCCCATCGTCAGCCGTTTGAATGATGCCCGGAAGATCGTCGACGATGACGATACTCATCATAGCACCGAATATATTATATTTTTTCATCCTTTGGAATAAATAGTTTTTAAGAAAAGAATGTCAAGCTTTTAAGTTTTTTTAACCCCAGCATGAAATTTGATTTAATAAAAAGAATAAATATTGGATAGCTGAATTCATTGTCGCTTTAATTCATTTATGTAGGTACTTGGGTTATAAAATATCAATTCATATCACATTTCATTTCAAATGCTTATATGGTATGTTAAAAGATAAAGTCACACTTAATTTCGAATTTCATCTACTTATAATATATGAAAAAAAAACTTATTTATATATGTACATGTGCTAGTTCTTAGTATATATGTATATGTATATGTTTCAGGAATAAAATTTAATACTATATAAAAAAAAAGAAATAATTCAACAAAAACAAAAAATTTATTCAGCCTTATATACATCGAGCCCTAACCGCCAAAAAAAAGTGAGCGACCTTTTTTGTGTATTCTTTTTGATGCAGAAATGCATCTTGATGCTCTAGGAGTATATACACTCACCAGAATATGTTTCCGTCCAGTGTTTCTTTTTTAAATATTTGCAATGTTTTTGGTAACATTTTTTTCGTTTATTTTTAATAGAAATATAGGTCATTCTGATTCAAAGTTTTTACAAAATTGAGGAAAATTCGACAAATTTTCACCAAAATTTTCAACTTTTAATTAAAATTTTTAAGAATTTTTTTGAGTATGCAGTTTTGTAGTTCAAAAAAAGTGTAGTGCGAAAAAATTGTTTATGAGAAACATTGCAAATATTAAAAAAACACTGTGCGGAAAAATTATCTGGTGAGTGTACATATGCATCAAAAAGAAAATTAGAAAAATGTCGCTTACGTCTCTTTGGCGGTTAGAGCTCGATATGTGCAGTTCTTAATTCTGCTGCTGTCTTTGCAGAGAAATCAGCTCCTAAATTACACCAGCAAGAGATGAAAGGCCGTTCCCCAAATTGCTTAGCGAATCAGCCAGTCTTGATTGCTCCTCTCTGCGCTCCCTCATATCACGCTGGACAATTTCCAGAATTTCACTGCGAAATGTCTTCCTTCGAGAGCGTGATACGGGGGGCAAAACACTACTAGGAGCTGAAGCACTACATGCTGGAGGACTGGGCGATTCGCAGAAAGTGATGCAAAACGGGGAAGGACATCTTTGAAGAGAAATTTCCACTACGTCTTCCGATATGCCGGCAGAGAAAGAAGGCAACACTTCAGTTAATCCCTCTGAATATGGTGGCGGAATATTTTCCTCGTTGTTTTCAGCCTTTTAAAAAAAAAGGTCAATATTTTTCGCATATATGATATATTTATAGTTTGCTTACCGGGAATCCAAGTATGGAGTTTGAGTGGTCCTCCACAGCAGCAATGCTTCTAGGGCTTGCTGCTCGAACTCTGTTAGCTCCGACACTGGGTTCTGCCCTCCACCCGTCTTATTCCGCTCGGCAATCACTTTGCGCGCACGTGACCTCAACTGCTTGCGCCAATTTCGCAGGCTCTAAAATTATACGCCATTTTCAATATATCTACAAACATGTGCTTAAAAAGATAGTGCTTCTTACCTCTCTCCAAGCATCGGAGCTTCTAGTGGGCCCCACCATAGCGTTTAAATTTGTCGCGATCTCCAGCCACATATCTGCGATGAGATGTGGCGCTGTGGGGCAGTTCTTTCCTTGTAGCAGTTGGGGATGGTCTTTTATGAAGCTGACATACCAACGCAATTGGGATTGGGTGGTTCTCGCATATTACCTGCCATTAAAAATTAATTATTGCTTTAAAATTTACCAAAATACTTCAGAGTATTACTTACATGTTCATCTCCATCTTGTTTTTGCTTGTAAATTGAAATTCAACTTTCTACCACACGCAAACAAACGGCGGATGCTGAGTTTCGCACTGTTGACAGCGTTACCAGTATGCCAGAATGCCGGTTACAAGAAGTGGTAACATTTTTCGGTAATAAAATTTACTGGTAATAAAATGTCCGGTAACGTGCAGAATAGACCTGTAAAACAAACTTTGCGCCTGCCAAAATTATTATAACCTCAAATCGCTGGTATTGTTACTTTATTTCACATTTCATTTGCGCTATTACACTCAGTTTACACTATACACTTCTTCTTTTTTTACTTTCACCTAAATAAAATATTCTAACCAAAATATAATAGCAAATTTCGCTACACCATGGCAGCGCTACTTTTATGGTTTACAGTTTTTTTTATCGAAGTATTGATTTTTATGGAAAAAGCGCCGTAGGCGAAAATTTTTAATAAAATAATCGCGCCATTTTTTATTAAAAATATTCATTTATATATATATTAAATGAAAGAAGATACCGAAAAGCATTGAACACTGCACACACCTTGTAAGGAAAAGTGAATTATTACGAAATACTAATACGGTGGCAGCACTATAGCTAATTTGGAATCGCGCGTTTCAGTTCGCAAAGATTGACAAATTCTTTTTAGTAACAAAATAATCTATCTTAGGTTGATAAAACTATGTGTTTGTTTAATAATTAAGTTAAATTATATATTTTAATAGGCGCGTATTCGTAGTCCAGCAACTAAGTCGAAACTAACAAAGTTGCAACTTAAATTTAAGTACCAACTTAAAATTTACCCCTATTCATAGTCGCATTTCAGACTTCTACTAAGTACTTTCGACTTGGTTTACGATATAGCAAAACGAGTGTGAAAATGTATCGATTTTTCTTTACGATATTTTGGAAAAATTACATTTTTATTAAATAGTGTCAAGTTTGATCATCGGTTTATGTAATTTTTATTTTCATTGCATGATTATGTAAAATAATAAGGTATAATTTTCTTGTTAATTGTGTGAAATAGCCAGAACAACCGCAGTGATGTGAAGTCGATGTTTATCGAAAGCATGCTGTGAAACATACAAATAGTAGATATCTAAATGTTATGCACAAATTTACTTTAAAAGAACTAGCGTGAAACTGACTTATTGTTTGAGAATTTATCTAAATTATTCCAATTATAAAATTGTGATGTAGCTTTATTCGAATTGTAATACGCATTTAATTTCATCTTCCGATTAAAATGGATCGATCTTTATTCAATATTATCAAAATCGCCCTCTACCAACTTAATTTGTACATATTTCGTCTGTTTTCCCTTAATTTGATAAAATACTTCTTCATAGTTACGACTTAGTTGCAGCTGCAGCCGAAACTAAATTTTAAGTTGGTACTTAGCCAGAAAAGTCGAAACTAAGGCGACTATGAATAGTTTCGACTTAGTGGAGTACTAAATATGACTATGAATATGCGCCATAGTGTTTGAAAAGTGAGAACAGGTGATTTAGTGAATTTTTGTCGGGGTAATTGCCCATACAAAACAACGAAATTTAACAAAAGTTTTTTGTTTATAACTTTTAAATGGTTAATAATATTAGCCCCCCCCCCCTGCGGATTGTTAATAGGGGGACCGAAACGCGTCGTTTGGTACCCCTCCCGACTTTTCCGGACCTTTTTTTAGCGGTTGTTACCCTATACTAGAGAATTACCCTTTTCAACATGAATTAGCAGAGTGCACTTTTCGTTTGTTTACAATTTGGTTGCAAAACACAATACAGCTGATCGTTTGACACATTTACCAGAATTTACCAGCAAAAAATTCTCGGACTAAAACTGGTAACTTCTGACCGAGAGAGAATCGTATTAACTCTCTTTTTTGTCCTCTCAATAGTCAGAGAACCGAGTACGGGATCGATTTCCAGTAAAATCTGACTGATTCTGACTATTTCTGACAAGTCCGGACTCGTACGGGATCGCAACTACTGAGTAGGAATGTTCGATATCGTATCGATTATTCTGAATGTCGATATTTTATGGTGCGATAATCGATTTTTTTAATCGATATTCCCAGGTCGATATATCGAAGACATCGATACTTTGCCCGCATTAACGATATTTAAGTTGAAATTTATTTTTCATCTACAAAAGAGTTTATGGGAAAACACTAAGCTAGTTTTACCCAGCAGCTAGTGTGATTTACTTAGCTTTTAAGTTTGACAAACCGCTTGCATGGTGTTCCCACCGTTAGAGTTATTGTCTTGTTCTATCTTCTTTAACAATACAGTGACCAACATTTCGTTTTAATCCTCAGTAAATATACAAGATTGAAATAACACAATTAGGTATTGATAGGCAGGTCTAATATTCTATTCAATGGGAGTGAGATTTGCAACATCGATTTTTCCGATATCGATATTGTTCAGCCCGATATATATGCACATCGATTTTGTATGCAATGAATTAGGTCGATTCATGATATCGATTCTTCCTTAACTATCGAAAATTCCAAGTACTGAGTACGGATTGTGGCGAATACTGCGGCAACGCGAAGCGAACAACGAGAAATAGGCAGAATGTTCGAGGAATGACGTAGATGGTTCCATAAAGAGAAACGTCAAGTTGGGTGAACACTGCGAACAGCGAGAGAAAGAGAATGGGCGATGAACTCCAGAACGTACGAGAGTTGCTATGAGTACAAGTGCAGGTATATAAGAGCCACGACACAGCGGAGTTGGACAGTTACAAGTCAGCAAGCTAGAAGTAAAGTGAGCAGAGAAGTGAGTTGAGAATAAGCAAGCTATAAGTTTAATTGTGTTAACAAGTTTAGTAAAGCATTGTTATTGCTTTAACAAGTATTGTAAAGTGTCTTTACTGTATTAGCGAGTATTGTAAATTGTTTGTTGTACAATAAAGTTAATTGTACTATAATTTGGTCATCGTTAGCATTTATTTAACGTTAGTTAAGGTTTAAAGGATAATCGTAACAACTGGTATCAGAAGTGGGATTGTTAAATAAATCCCGAAGGATAAACTTTTGAAAATGGCAAAAAGTCAAGACCTAAAGAGCGAGGAACTCAAACAGGAGTTGGAGAAGCGAAATTTAGCAACCTCAGGAAGAAAAGTGGAGTTACTATCACGGCTGCGAGAGGCTATGGAAGCAGAAAGCATCGACGTGGACAAATACGACTTCCAGGGTAAACCCCCCGATACATCCGCAAAAGACGAACAGAAGTAGGAGGATGCATGTTCGTCGAAGGATGTGCATCAGACATCCGGGAGGGTGGAAGAACAGCAAAAGGCTCCTTCGTCATCAACGGCTATGGACATGAACACGTTATTGTCTGCCATGTCACAGATGTCATCACAGATTTCATCCCAGCTGCAAGTGCAGGAAACACGCAAGTCATCGCAGCTGGAAGCACAGAAAACGTACATGTCATCGCAGCTAGATGAATAGATTACTCAGCTACAAGAGAATTTATTCAAAGATAACGCGGAACTCAGAGAGAGACAGGATAAAATCGAGGAACGACAAGATAAAATCGAAGAGCTAATTAAGGAGGAAGTTGAGGCTAAGGTAAAATAATTGGAAGGTCGTCTCCGAGATATGCAGTTGAATCGTCCAGCTACTTCGACGAGCGTGCCCAAGGTAAAGACTCTATCCTTTAACGGCACGATTCCTTTCTAAGTCTTTAAGCTCCAGTCCAAAAAGCCGGCTGCAGAAAACAACTGGAGAAAGGAGGATAAATCCGCTGCACTATTTGTGGCATTAAAAGGACCTGCAGCGGAAATCTTGCAGACTATTCCTGGTTGTGAAAGGAACAGTTACGATGCGTTAATGGGTGCAGTGGAAAGATGTTATGGTAGCGAGCACAGGAGACAGATTTACCAGATAGAACTGGAGACTCTCTGCCAGAAATCCAACGAGACATTACAGGAATTCGCCTCTGAGATTGAAAGGTTGGCTCATTTGGCAATTGGAGACGCATCTGGTGAGCACCTTGAAAGGGTAAAAATCCAGAGGTTCATCAACGGAATGCGGGACATGTATACCAAGCGAGAGACGTACGCGAATCCAAAGGCAACATTTGCTGAAACCGTCTCGTATGCTCAGACACGTGAAACGGCAGCACTCCTAAGTAAACCAGCCTACAAAGCCCATCGATTGGAAGTGGAAACACCGGACGAGACAATTGAAATGCTGAAGAAGATAATCCAACTGCTGGGTGAGAAAAAGCATGGATCTGGCAAATGTTTTAAATGTGGAAAGCCAGGCCACATCGCCCGCGATTGCAGTGCGAGTTCCAATGGGCTCAACAATTCAGTAGGACGCAAACGCAGGACTGAGGGAGACGAATCCAACTCCAATCAGTGGTTAAACTCAAACGAGCCAGCAGTCAGAAGCAGTTGTGTGGGCGAAGATTAATGGAGATTGTGGTACAAACAAATTATGGGTTGTCGAAGCAACACAAAATTCTACACCGGATGGACGCATCGCAGTTCGAGTGCTAAATGATTTCAAATCACCAGTCAAACTCCGAAGAGGAGCTGTACTGGGGCAATGTCGAGCGGTAGAGGCAATCTTCAACTGCGAAAAATTACCTGAAAGCGATTCCATTGGCGAGAATGACATTGCGGAAGACATTAATGCATGGGCGGAAGGGTTGGAAGAAAAATACCAGCACAAGGCTAAGGAACTTCTCCGCAGATACTCTAACATATTCGACAAGGATGGCGACAAACCAGGCTGGACTAAAGTTGTGAAACATCGCATTGATACTGGCGATGCAAGGCCAATCCGTCAAGCTCCTCCGAGTGTTCCACTTGCCAAACGTGAAACTGTTAGCCATATAATAAAAGAAATGAGCGAGAGTGGTATGATTGAACCATCAGCGAGTCCATGTAGTTCGCCAGTAGTACTTGTGAAGAAGGATGGTCAAATGCGGTTCTGCGTAGACTACCGGAAACTACACGATGTGACGAAAAAGGACAGCTATCCTCTTCCCAGGATCGATGACACTCTGGACTCGTTGACTGGAACAAAGAGGTTTCCAACACTCGACCTTAAGAGCGGTTATTGGCAAGTGGAGCTCAGTGACGAGGATAAGTAGAAGACAGCTTTCAGTGTTGGAGACGATCTGTGGCAATTCACGGTGATGCTCCTTGGATTATGCAACGCTCCTGCCACTTTTGAACGACTTATGGACCATGTGCTCAAAGGACTGCATTGAAAACATGTTTGGTGTATATAGACGACAATATCGTATTGGGTAAAAGCTTTGAGGAACACCTGAACAATTTGGAAGAAGTTTTTCAGAGGATAGCTGGCGCTGGTCTGAAGCTAAGTCCTAAAGGGTGCTGACTATTCAAGAAGGAGGTGAACTACTTGGGACACAAGGTGGCAACGGAGGGCGTCTGTACTGCGAAGGAAGAGATAGAAGCAGTAAAGGATTGGTCAAGACCTAGGAACCTGGACGAACTACGAAGTTTTCTTGGGCTATGCACCTACTACCGCCGATTTGTTCCGAATTTCGCCAGCGTTGCTAATAGCCTCCACGAGCTCACTAGGAAAAATAGAGCCTTCGAGTGGAACAAGGAGCAGGAGGAGGCTTTCCAGACTCTGAAGGAACGACTATGTACTGCACCTATGCTAGCGTATCCCGTTCCAGGTGCAACGTTTATTTTGGATACGGATGCTAGTGGTTATGCCATAGGAGGCGTACTGTCGCAGTTAATTGATGGGCAGGAGAAGGTAGTTGCCTACTATAGCCGGTCGATTGGAAAACCAGAGAGGAACTACTGCGTAACTCGGAGAGAACTACTAGCGTTGGTGGACTGCGTCAAACATTTCCACAAGTACCTCTATGGGCAACGTTTCCGAGTTCGAACGGACCATGCAGCGCTGAAGTGGCTACTACAGTTTAAGAATCCAGAAGGACAGCTAGCTCGGTGGATTGAGAGACTGCAAAGTTATGACTTCGCTATTGAGCACCGCAAGGGAAGTGTCCACGGTAATGCTGATGCCATGTCCCGCCGACCATGTAGCCTGGAATGTAAACACTGCTCAAAAGCTGAGGGAAAAGAGGACATTATAGACGTCCGTCTAACGACAATAACACCAGCGGAAGAGTGGAAGGAAGAACAGCTACGGAAGTGTCAGCAGGAAGATCCAGATCTGGAGCTTTTGATGCATGGACTGGAGGTGGACAGGAGGCCAACTAAGGAGCAAATGGCAGCGGAAAGCCCCATCGCAAAGGCGTACTGGGCACAATGGAACAGCTTAAAATTAATATCTGGCTGTTTGCATAGGGTATGGGAAAGCGAAGATGGCCAGTGCTCCCGCAACCTGATAGTAGTTCCAAGGGTAAGAATTCCGGATGTACTCAAGGAATTCCACAATGGTCCTAGTGGAGGGCACCTGGGAATCACGAAGACCCTGGAGAAGGTTAAGCAGAGGTTCTATTGGGTTGGTTGTCGGCAATCGGTCGCAGAGTGGATTGCTAACTGCGCGGAGTGTATTGCAGCTAAGGGGCCGAAATCCAGAAGTCATGGCCAGATGAAGCAATATAACTCAGGTGCACCTTTCGAGCGGATTGCCATGGATGTAGCCGGTCCATTTCCTATGAGCGCACAGGGAAACAAATATGTCCTTGTAGTTACGGACTACTTTAGCAAATGGCCGGAGGTATACCCGATTCCAATCCAGGAAGCTAAAATAGTAGCGGAGGTATTCACCTACAACTGGGTTGCGGGATACGGTGTACCGATAGAGGTGCACTCTGACCAGGGAAGAAATTTTGAATCGGCGATATTCCAAGAGATGTGCCAGATACTGGGTATCTGGAAAACTCGAACAACGGCTCTTCATCCCCAATCAGATGGCATGGTGGAGGGGTTCAACCGAACCCTGGATGAGCATTTGCGGAAGGTCGTGGACAAGAATCAGAAAGATCGGGATGTCCGCATACCCTTGTTCCTGATGGGATACCGGTCAGCAGTGCATGAAACAACGGGTAAAACTCCTGCAAGGGTAATCTTCGGCAGTGAGTTCCGTTTGACTAGTGACCTGAAGTTTGGGGTAACTGGCGATGCAAGGAGAATTGGTAAAGAGACGTCCAACATCCTGGAAGAGGAGTTGAGAGAAATACATGCTCTTGTGAGACAGCGAACTCAAATTATGAGTGACAAGATGAAGGCCAGGTATGATAAGGCAATGAACTCCGAGGATTTCCAAGAGGGAGACTTAGTGTTGCATAAGGTTAGTGTTTTGTAGGGTGACTTAGTGTTGCTGTACAATCCACAACGGAAGGAAGGTTTGTCCCCAAAGCTACAATGCAGCTTGGAAGGTCCGTATAAGGTCATAAAACGGCTGAATGACGTAGTGTACCGAATCCAGACCGTTTGGAGACCAAGAAACAAGATAAACGTGGTCCGCTTGGAAAGGCTTGCAGGGTTTTGAATAGCAAGTGTGTCTGATCGGGACGATCAGACTTAGGTGGAGAGCAGTGTGGCGAATACTGCGGCAACGCGAAGCGAACAACGAGAAATAGGCAGAATGTTCGAGGAATGACGTAGAATGTTCCACAAAGAGAAACGTCAAGTTGGATGAACACTGCGAACAGCGAGAGAAGGAGAATGGGCGATGAACTTCAGAACGTTCTAGAGTTGCCATAAGTGCGAGCGCAAGTATATAAGGGCGCCGCCACAGCGAAGCTACGAGTTACAAGTCAGCAAGCTTCAAGTAAAGTGAGCAGAGAAGTGAGTTTCGAATAAGCAAGCTATAAGTTTAATTGTGTTAACAAGTTTAGTAAAGCGTTGTTATTGCTTTAACAAGTATTGTAAAGTGTTTTTACTGTATTAGCGAGTATTGTAAATTGCTTGTTGTACAATAAAGTTAATTGTACTACAATTTGGTCATCGTTAGCATTTATTTAACAATCCAGCGATACGAACCGAAGCATTTGGGAAATCCGGACGAGGTTTCAAGGATAATCGTAACAATTGGTGTCAGAAGTGGGATTGTTAAATAAATCCCGAAGGATAAACTTTTGAAAATGGCAAAAAGTCAAGACCTAAAGATCGAGGTACTCAAACAGGAGTTGGAGAAGCGAAATTTAGCAACCTCAGGAAGAAAAGTGGAGTTACTATCACGGCTGCGAGAGGCTATGGAAGCAGAAAGCATCGACGTGGACAAATACGACTTCCAGGGTAAACCCCCCGATACATCCGCAAAGGACGAACAGAAGTAGGAGGCTGCATGTTCGTCGAAGGATGTGCATCAGACATCCGGGAGGGTTGAAGAACAGCAAAAGGCTCCTTCGTCATCAACGGCTATGGACATGAACACGTTATTGTCTGCCATGTCACAGATGTCATCACAGATTTCATCCCAGCTGCAAGTGCAGGAAACACGCAAGTCATCGCAGCTGGAAGAACAGAAAACGTACATGTCATCGCAGCTAGATGAAAAGATTACTCAGCTACAAGAGAATTTATTCAAAGATAACGCGGAACTCAGAGAGAGACAGGATAAAATCGAGGAACGACAAGATAAAATCGAAGAGCTAATTAAGGAGGAAGTTGAGGCTAAGGTAAAATAATTGGAAGGTCGTCTCCGAGATATGCAGTTGAATCGTCCAGATACTTCGACGAGCGTGCCCAAGGTAAAGACTCTATCCTTTAACGGCACGATTCCTATCTAAGTCTTTAAGCTCCAGTCCAAAAAGCCGGCTGCAGAAAACAACTGGAGAAAGGAGGATAAATCCGCTGTACTATTTGTGGCATTAAAAGGACCTGCAGCGGAAATCTTGCAGACTATTCCTGGTTGTGAAAGGAACAGTTACGATGCGTTAATGGGTGCAGTGGAAAGACGTTATGGTAGCGAGCACAGGGGACAGATTTACCAGATAGAACTGGAGACTCTCTGCCAGAAATCCAACGAGACATTACAGGAATTCGCCTCTGAGATTGAAGGTTGGCTCATTTGGCAATTGGAGACGCATCTGGTGAGCACCTTGAAAGGGTAAAAATCCAGAGGTTCATCAACGGAATTCGGGACATGTATACCAAGCGAGAGACGTACGCGAATCCAAAGGCAACATTTGCTGAAACCATCTCGTATGCTCAGACACGTGAAACGGCAACACTCCTAAGTAAACCAGCCTACAAAGCCCATCGAGTGGAAGTGGAAACACCGGACGAGACAATTGAAATGCTGAAGAAGATAATCCAACTGCTGGGTGAGAAAAAGCATGGATCTGGCAAATGTTTTAAATGTGGAAAGCCAGTGCAAGTTCCAATGGGCTCAACAATTCAGCAGTACGCAAACGCAGGACTGAGGGAGACGAATCCAACTCCAATCAGTCGTTAAACTCAAACGAGCCAGCAGTAAGGGGCGCACACTGGCTCCCGCATTTGAATGCCCCACAATCTCCGTCTCGCGAATTGGCAGAAAAGCGAGCAACGTTGCTGTTGGTGGATATGTGGACGGACATGAGCGAGTATTAACTGTGGATACGGGTGCATCACATTCCATCATTCGATCTGATTTGGTCACTAAAGAGGTAAGGCCATTACCTGGAGCAAGGTTGATAACTGCAACTGGTGAGGACACCCAAGTTGTAGGAGAGGTAACGTGCATAGTCGCAATAGGGAATGTGACGGTGTTACACAAGTTCATAGTCGCGGCGATTATGGATGAAGTCATCATTGGATTAGACTTTTTATTTGATCAAGGTATGGAGATCGACATGAAGAACAGGATTATGAAGTACAACAACATGGAAGTGCCCCTTGGCTTTGGGTATGATGGTCCGTACAGCAGCAAGCGAGTGGTCCTAGAGGAAAGCGAGCAGATTCCACCGAAGTCAGAAGCAGTTGTGTGGGCGAAGATTAATGGAGATTGTGGGACAAACAAATTATGGGTTGTCGAAGCAACACAAAATTCTACACCGGACGTACTTATTGGTAAAACCCTGGCTAAGACGCAAAAAGATGGACGCACCGCAGCTCGAGTGCTAAATGAGTTCAAATCACCAGTCAAACTCCGAAGAGGAACTGTACTGGGGCAATGTCGAGAGGTAGAGGCAATCTTCAACTGCGAAAAATTACCTGAAAGCGATTCCATTGGCGGGAATGACATTGCGGAAGACATCAATGCATGGACGGAAGGGTTGGAAGAAAAATACCAGCACAAGGCTAAGGAACTTCTCCGCAGATACTCCAACATATTCGACAAGGATGGCGACAAACCAGGCTGGACTAACGTTGTGAAACATCGCATTGATACTGGCGATGCAAGGCCAATCCGTCAAGCTCCTCGGAGTGTTCCACTTGCCAAACGTGAAACTGTTAGCCAAATAATAAAAGAAATGAGCGAGAGTGGTGTGATTGAACCATCAGCGAGTCCATGGAGTTCGCCGGTAGTACTTGTGAAGAAGAAGGATGGTCAAATGCGGTTCTGCGTAGACTACCGGAAACTACACGATGTGACGAAAAAGGGCAGCTATCCTCTTCACAGCATCGATGACACTCTGGACTCGTTGACTGGAACAAAGTGGTTCCCAACCATTATTGGCAAGTGGAGGTCAGTGACGAGGATAAGTAGAAGACAGCTATCAGTGTTGGAGACGGTCTGTGGCAATTCACGGTGATGCTCCTTGGATTATGCAACGCTCCTGCCACTTTTGAACGACTTATGGACCATGTGCTCAAAGGACTGCATTGGAAAACATGTTTGGTGTATCTAGACGACATTATCGTATTGGGTAAAAGCTTTGAGGAACACCTGAACAATTTGGAAGAAGTTTTCCAGAGGATAGCTGGCGCTGGTCTGAAGCTAAGTCCTAAAAAGTGCTGACTATTCAAGAAGGAGGTGAACTACTTGGGGCACAAGGTGACAACGGAGGGCATCTGTACTGCGAAGGAAAAGATAGAAGCAGTAAAGGATTGGCCAAGACCTAGGAACCTGCACGAACTACGAAGTTTTCTTGGGCTATGCACCTACTACCGCCGATTTGTTCCGAATTTCGCCAGCGTTGCTAATAGCCTCCACGAGCTCACTAGGAAAAATAGAGCCTTCGAGTGGAACAAGGAGCAGGAGGAGGCTTTCCAGACTCTGAAGGAACGACTATGTACTGCACCTATGCTAGCGTATCCCGTTCCAGGTGCAACGTTTATTTTGGATACGGATGCTAGTGGTTATGCCATAGGAGGCGTACTGTCGCAGGTAATTGATGGGCAGGAGAAGGTAGTTGCCTACTATAGCCGGTCGATTGGAAAACCAGAGAGGAACTACTGCGTAACTCGGAGAGAACTACTAGCGTTTGTGGAGTACGTCAAACATTTCCGCAAGTACCTCTATGGGCAACGTTTCCGAGTTCGAACGGACCATGCAGCGCTGAAGTGGCTACTACAGTTTAAGAATCCAGAAGGACAGCTAGCTCGGTGGATTGAGAGACTGAATGTAAACACTGCTCAAAAGCTGAGGGAAAAAAGGACATTATAGACGTGCGTCTAACGACAATAACACCAGCGGAAGAGTGGAAGGAAGAACAGCTACGAAAGTGTCAGCAGGAAGATCCAGATCTAGAGCTTTTGATGCATGGACTGGAGGTGGACAGGAGGCCA